GCCCAGCTCTGCATCTCCCACCCATACATCACCAGTGTGCATGCAGGTGTGTGATGTATGTGTGCATGTGTACACATACATGTGTCCACCTATGTGCATGTTTAGTGGACACACGTACTGTGTGTGTGTTTATAAAACTCTTGCTGTGACCGTGCCCTTACCCAGGGGTGGGATGGAAGGGACCACTCACCTGAGGAAGTCCCTGACCAGAGGTACACACTCGGCATCCACACTCATGTCCACACTTTTGCTTGGCGCCTTCCACAGGGCCTGGGCCTCGGGGTTGGTGGTCAGGATCAGGGTGTGGGCACAGAGGTCCAGCACCTCCTCCTCTTGGACCCGCACATGGACAGACAGGTCACAGTCCTGCTGGCTGTCGAAGAGCTGGCCCAGAGCGGCGGAGAGCTCCCAAGAGAGGTCTAGGGTGTGGTTGCTTCTGCTCTCTAGCAGGGGCAGAAGGGACATGTGTGTGTTAGGAGGCTCAGGCCCCATCTCTAGCTCACCCCGGAGCTCTGGACACCCTGGTTCCTCTCTGGGGTCAGTGTTTTCCACGTAAGCTGTAGGATTAGTGCTGTCTCATCAGCTCAGAGAGGCTCCTGGGAAGGGGTGGGAAAGGACAGACCCCGAGGCCTACACCCATGCCTTGGGGACCAAGAGTGGCTGAGGCCCGGCCAGCTGCTTCTAGGGCTCTGTGTTTGGCCCTCTGCTCTCCCCCCACCCAGATTTGGTAGCAGCCCTGGGTGAGGGATTTAGGGTACTGACCTCCAGAGCCATAAACATAATCAATTAACCACCAAATTCACCTGCCTGGTTGGGTGGCCTGAGAAGTTAGGGCCCAATGGCAATCCAAGTTTAAAAATTTGGGGGTCGCTGAGCAGTCTTCTGAGGTGCATGAGGCCTGAGAAGTCTGGGAGCTTCACGGGGGCAGGGTGATGTACCCCTCCTTCCCCTCTCAAACTCTAACTTGAAACTAAACCCTGCCACTTCCTGCTTTGCCCCAGGGAGGTCTGCGTCCCGGATCCCTCCTCATATCAACTCTCAGGACCTCCAGCTCTCACCTCCAGTCTTTATGGGCTCCTCTGAGAGTCCTCCACCCCAGCTAGGCCTCCATCCATCCCGAGTGGATGTGTGGGCTCCCTGCCCCCATGCACTAGGGCCCCAGCTCAG